TTTAGGGTTTAGGGTTTAGGGTTTAGGGTTTAGGGTTTAGGGTTTAGGGCTAGGGTTTAGGGTGTAGGGTTTAGGGTTTAGGGCTTGGGGTTTAGGGTTTAGGGTTTGGGGTTTCGGGTTTGGGCTTTGGGGCTGTCAGCTTGGCGTTTGGTTTGTCATGGCTTGGAGCTTGGACTTAGGGTCTAGGGTCTAGGGTTTGGGGTTTGGGGTTTGGGGTCTGAGGTCTGAAACCCTAAACCCTAAACCCCAAACCGTCCAAACTATCTAGACCCTAAACCCTAAACCCTAATAAAACCCCAACCCGAAGCCACGCCGAAGCCCCCATTCCGCTAAAGCCCTAAAACCCTAAGATCTGCGCAGCCCAAATCATCTGAAACCCCGACGTCTGTCTGCCAGGAGCCTTCAGCCCATTGGCAATACCAGGCTTGACCATCTTGCCAATCATAGTCCTGCCAATTGCCCCATGTTTCCTGCTGCTTGGGCTGGCTGGCTTTGGTATAGTGGCCGCCCTTGTTCTTCTTCCTCTTCCTCTGCCTTTCCAGAGTGCCAGCTGACTTCCATTTGAGGCCACGGTTTTCCCTTTCAATCTGGGACGCCCCTGGGTCTTTGGCGCCATGCCTGGAAAGGTACTAAAAACGCAAGAGCCTCTGATTGGGATCAATTTTGGGCTTTGATTTAGGTTTAGGCTTGCTACGCGCCTCAGGCTTAGGGCTGGGTTGGGGGGGGGCGAGGGTTGCGGACTACAGGCTGCTGTGGCTCAGACTGCGGTGTTTGTCCTACCCTAAAAACACCAAAAGCCCCCAAAGCCCTCCATGGTTTGCGGTTTAGGGTTTAGGATTCAGGATTAAGGGTTTAGGGTTTAGGGTTTAGGGTTCAGGGTTTAGGGCTTCTGGAAAAACCGACAACTCCCCAATCCTGGACACGGTGCCTCGCTGGTCGCGGCTCTCGTCGCTGTCCGAAGAATCGCCTCTTCGTCGGCTCTTGGAAGTTGGGAGCTTTATAGGGTTTAGGGTTTAGGGTTTAGGGTTTAGAGTTTAGGGTTTAGGGTTTAGGGTTTAGGGTTTAGGGTCTAGGGTCTAGGGTCTAGGGTCTAGGGTCTAGGGTTTAGGGTTTAGGGTTTAGGGTTTAGGTTAGGGTTTAGGGTTTAGGGTTTAGGGTTTAGGGTTTAGGGTTTAGGGTTTAGGGTTTAGGGTTTAGGGTTTAGGGTTTAGGGTTTAGGGTTTAGGGTTTAGGGTTTAGGGTTTAGGTTTAGAATTTAGGGTTTGGGGTTTAATCTTGGGGGAGTTGGGCTCTTAAATGGGGGCCCCTTATATACCCATGATATACCCCATAGAATTCAAGGGCCCAAACTTGTAAGGTAGGTAAGGGACCTTGTAAGACGCTCCAAGCCCTCTAAGCCCTATCTTAGGTTTAGAGCTTCGAGTTTAGGAGTTTGGGAGTTTAGGTTTGGGATTTAGGGTAGACCCAACACCCCAAACCCTAAACCCTCAACCCACAACCCTATTCTTGTGTATTGGCAATCTTGGGGCCCTGCACACACCCAAATCCTCAACCCTGTAAGCCCGAGAAACGTCTGTAAACTCCATAAGCTGTAAACTCCATAAGCTCTCCCAAATCAAAAACCTATGAAAGCCCGTCAAAACCTGTCAAAACCCTATCAAAACCCTTCAAGCGCTAAACCACAATCTTAATAAGGGTACGCTTTTGGGTGATGGTTGCTGTTTTAAGTTGTAAGGGAACCGAGAACCCAAAAAGGGCAAAAGGGTATTTGAAAACCCCCCTAAACCCTAAACCCCAAACCTACACCCAAACCTAAACCCTAAACCCAAATCCCCAAACTCTAAACCACAAACCCCAAAACCCTAAACCCCGAACCCCACACCCCAAACCCCAAACCCCAAGCCCTAAACCCTAAACCCGAAACCCGAAACCCTAAACCCTAAACCCCACTCAACTCTTCGGGGCTGCGGCTGCTGTCGTCCGAGTCAGAGTCGTCCTCGTCGTAGCTGTCCTCCGAGCGGTGGCGACCTCGCAGCTGGCGCAGGGTTTAGGGTTTAGGGTTTAGGGTTTAGGGTTTAGGGTTTAGGGTTTAGGGTTTAGGGTTTAGGGTTTAGGGTTTGGGGTTTGGGGTTTGGGGTTTAGGGTTTAGGGTTTGGGGTGTAGGGTTTGGGGTTTGGGGTTTGGGGTTTAGGGATTTAGGTGTGTAGGGGTTTAGGGGTTTAGGGGTTTAGGGGTGTAGGGGTTTAGGGGTTTAGGGGTTTAGGGGTTAGGGGTTTAGGGGTTTAGGGGTTTAGGGGTTTAGGGGTTTAGGCCTTAAGCCCTATAAGTTCTATATTCCATATAAGCCAGGTAAGCCCGACAAACCCAAAAAACCCCATAAACCCTAAACCCTATAAATAGGACCTTGGTTAGGGGTTGAGGAGCTTGGCAAGTATCCCGATTGCAGTTTGGTTCCCTTTACAAACCCAAACCCAAAAGTGCGCACGTCAAAAACAAACCAAGACTAAACCCTTAAACCCTCAACCCTAAACCCTCAGCCCTAAACCCTAAAAAAAGAAACTAAAAACAAAACCCTCAAACCTAACCCCTAAACCCTCAACCCTAAACCCTGAAAAAACCTCAAAGCCCCAAATGCTCGACCCTGCGTCCGAAACCAGGGACTTGATTGTTGCAATACTCCCCTATCCTCCAAACCGTAATCTCTCAGTCCAAAACTCCAAAGCCCCACAACCCCCAAATCCCGGAAACCTCCCTTAACCTCTTCAGAAACGAACTTTCGCGACAAAAAACCCCCAAAAACCCAAGCTACATGCCTCGCCGCCGGTCGTCCTCTCGCCGGCGGTCGTCGTCTCGCCTTCGGTCATCCTCGCGCCTGCGGCGCCTCCGCTTGCGGCGAACAACTTACTGTTGGTCAGAATCCCTTAAATTAATAATTAATTAAGTATTATGATTTAAAGAATAATTTGTAATTAATTCATGATTAATAATTATTTAAAGGGTAGAAAAGGGATACATGGTACCTTATTCCCTCATTCCCTGCTGGTCAGTAAGACAAGCGTGGGTTCAGGCCCCAATCTGCTTTACAAAATACCTGGACCTCTATGTGGGTAGTGCTCTAGTTAGTGTCCCTTATGGGGGTGCTTCTTTCTTAGGGTGCCGTAGTATGTGTAGGACCCAGAAAGAGACCCTAGTTTGGAGAACTAGCCTTGTTGTGTACAGACAGGATTTAGGTTCTGAGGGCTTGGCCTACAAAGAAACACCTGGGTCTCAGAGGCACAACAGATCCGAAGCCCGTGGGGGTTTGAGGCTAGCCCTTAAAGCCGTAGCAAAAATCTACTTTCAAGCTTCCCCTGAGCTTCATGACGAAAAAAGAGCTTGTTCCTAAGGAAATTGCCCTGACACCCTGAACCCTCTAATCCCTATATACTTCCGAGAACCCTAAACCCTGTGAACATGAACCCGTATACAACACATTAACCCATTAAGGAAACTGCACCTCAAATCATAAAATAAAACCTAAAGTCCAGCCCGTGAAACACCCAAACCCGAAACTCGACAAGCCTGTTCCTAATAAAACGTAAACCCTGAACCCCAGAACCCTAGACTCGGCAAACCCCGTAAACCCTGTAATTTCTCTAAACCGCCTGCAAACCCTGTAATCCCTGCCATCCCGGAACCCTGTAAAACCCAAAAGACATGTAGGCCCTGTAAACCCTGTGAAACCCTGTTGACCCTGGTAACCCTATTTAACCCTGGTTAACCGGTGAACCCTAATGAACCCTAATTTTTCACCCAGCTAACCCCAATTCACCCTCTAGGGCTCCATTTTCAAGGTCTGTCTGGTCTGGCCCGGTCTCTGTTCTTGTCCGCTGCCCGGCTGTCCGCTTCGATTCCTCGTCTCTGTCTCGGCCCCCTTGCCAACTGCGAGCCACCTTCATTGCCAATCTGGTGGAATCAAGCCTGTCCACCTGACGCAGGTCTTCGTCCGCAAAAGAGCAGGACCCACTAACCCTGGCTAACCCTACCTAACAGCAATTGACCCTTCATAAACCCTAATTAGCCCTCATTAACCCTTAATCAACCCTAATGAACCCTAATTGACCCTTAATGAACCCTAATTCGTAACTAACCCTCAATTAAGCCTAATCAACCCTGATTAACCCCAACTAACCCCCTCTGTTACTCCCTTGGGCTCTGGCGCATCGCGATCTCTGCGTGCATCCTGCGGGAATCGCGGGCTTGGGGCCGGGGCTCAAGACTGAAAAGCTTAGGGTTTGCGGTTTGCGGTTTGAAAGGGTTTCGGGTATAGGGCCTAGGGTTTCTGCGCAAGCCAACATCTGACTGCCATTGGCTGCTTGCTTCAGCAGTACCCGCACATCTTTCGCTGTACCAAGCGCTGCACCTGTTTAGGGTTTAGGGTTTAGGGTTTAGGGTTTAGGGTTTAGGGTTTTAGGGGTCAGGGCTTGGGGTTCAGGGTTCAGGGTTCAGGGTTTAGGGTTTAGGGTTTAGGGCTTAGGGTTTAGGGTTTAGGGTTTAGGGTTTAGGGTTAGGGTTTAGGGCTTAGTGCTTCGGGTTTAGGATCCACTGAAGCCCAACGAAGGAACATAGAAAATATCCCCAGGGCCTTCCCAGCAAATGAAAAAGGGGGGCACCTCTTGGGATGTTCCCGCGTATACGAACAGTCCTCAAATAGGGATGAATCGTACCCCCTTTTATTGTCCCTATTTAAAGGCTCGATCTTCACAAGTGCACATTTTGCATCTGCAATGCAAAGGTGTCACAAAGTCATGCTGCTTTCGCAGCGAACTGTACGAGGCCGCTGGCTGCGGGCGGGAGAGGAGGGCCGCTTGAACCGCACAGTTCAAACCCTCGCCTTTACCGAAATCAAAGGCTCGATCTTCACAAGTGCACATTTTGCATCTGCAATGCAAAGGTGTCACAAAGTCATGCTGCTTTCGCAGCGAACTGTACGAGGCCTACCACCCAAACCACCCAGCCATTCAAGCGTGCATGTCAGCGGCCAAGAGTTCGTACCAGATGGAGACTGGTACACCCGTCTTCAAGAAAAACTCAGCTTTCTGAACCAAAGTCGGGAACGAAGAGAGCGCCTGAAAGACGAGGGAGCGAGAAACCGCGTCGAGGGTCGGGAGCAGCTGTAAGGCGGAAGCTTCCTGTATATAGATCTCGGCGATCTTGCTCGAAAGCCATCTGCCACGCCGCCGCGTGAGCTCGGCATCTTCGGTCTGAAGCATGAGCCATGTAGCGCCGCCAGCGCGTAAGGAGGCCAGCTCCAGGTGCGGTCGTCCGGGCGCCCGCTCTGTTGGCAAGTGTATCGCCTTACAGATGGCTCGGAAACGGTTCCTCAGGGTTTGGCCTGACCATGGCCAAAGCTTTTCGTGAGGCCTAAGTGACCCGAACACACTGTCGATCAAACGAAGGAGGTCAGGTTGGTCGATGCGAACTGACTGATGACGCGCTTGGCGGAAACGAGTCTTGGGCTCCTTGAGCAGAAGATCGCTCCTGAGAGACTGCAAAGTCTCGCCGATCCTGAGAAGGCCTCCCCATGTGACTGCAAGGGCCCCAGCAACCCTCGGCCACCCCCATAGAAGGCACACTGCGATGAGCCCCAGAAGGATTTGCCACGGCATAGCAGTGTGATGCGTCGTCGGCTCAGCTTTTCTCCACGCGTAGGCGACGTCCCACGCAGGTTGCAAGAGCCTCCGGATCTTAGGGATACGGCTTGCTACGCAAGCGCGTGGCTTCGTCCTGGAGCCCTTGCCCAGTGCAGTGTACTGTGTCCCCTTTCAACCGGTGCGGGAAGGGGATGGGGTGGCTAAATACCAGAGCCAAAAGAAGGCCGGAGACGACCAACAAGCAAGGTAAGGCGTGACCAGTTAGCAGCCCAGCGTCGGAGCTTGGGAAGGCTGGAAAGGGCTCGGATCTCGGCAGCATCCCAGTCAGGCGTGACGATTGACAACCCAGGACGAGGAATAGGAGTGTCACGCGTGGGATGATCAGCAGGCATGAGTCGCGTGGGGCAGAATGGCACCTGAGGGTATAGACCAAAAGCAAGGGCTGCAGCGGCGATGCGACGCAGAGTCTTTGAAAGCCCAGATGAAGGAGACCTCCCCTTTTGCACAGCACACCGTGCGACATTGGAGTCGCAAAGGGTAGCGAAGCGAAGAGGACCGCCGGACCTGGCAAGCAGAAGAAGCAGTCGGTAAATGCAGGAGCCTTCGAGGAGATTGATGTGAGTAGCCCTCTTCCATTTCCAAACCTTCACAGGGCACCAGGTGAGAGAGATGGCAAGGTCGTTAACGAGGGGCGACTCGAGGCCCTCAGTGTCGAGGGCACAGTCCTCGAGAGCGACATGCCTCTGCCGAATAGCCTTTTCGAAGGCATCAGCTAGCGCAACAGCAAGGGAATCCGGGTAGACATCGGAGGCCTTCGTAGCGGCATGTGTGTGATCCCGACTGCAGCGCCTAGCAAGACTTTGCAGAGAGAAAGCGACAGCCAGAAAACGCCAAGGCTTGAGGCATGGGCTGCCAAAGGCGCAGCCAACAGTGAAGACCTCGGATGCCTGGGGCAGAGCAGCAATGTCTGTCCAAGTTTTTAGACGAGATATTTTAGAGTTGCGAGGTTGCTCCAGGGCAGCAGGGACCCCATGTCGGTGGCAAACGCGAAGGAGGCACAACGATCTGAGAGCAAGGACAGTGCAGAGATGAGTGCGCGACTCTGTCGGGTGGATCCCCAGAGGCTGGCGGTAAGTTCTGAGCGGCGGGTTCTTGGCGGCGGAGAAAGTGGCGCTAGGAGGCGTCAGAAGAACGGCATCGACCAAGCCAGAGGAGACAAGATGCACAACCCACAGGAAGACCTGGGCTGAGGACCAATCGTACTCGGGAGATTCAGAGATGTTGAGCACAGGCCCGGTGGCCCAGCCTCTGTCCCGAAGCCTAGCGGTGACCTTGCCGGAGCCAACGCCGACTTCAATGAAGTGGAAGCGCAGGGCCAGCGGACGCCGGACCCTAGCAGCAGAAGGCCTTTGTGGGTCAGGAAGTATCTCGAACTCAGGGTCAAATCGCATGAGGGCAGCCCTTTCACGAGAAAGAAGCCTGGCATTCTCCGAGACCTTTAAGGCGGAGGTCCAAAGCCTTTGGGTCAAGGTGGCAGGCACCTGCGCACTGACAATGGCCCCCTTGAGGTCGGAGGAGTCAGTAGCAAAGAGAGCTTCGGACCATGGCGCGGACAGGTCAGCGACAGCAAGCGGAGCAAGCACCGACAGCATTGCAAGCTCAGAAGCGATGGCCCTGGGTTGAGGGATGACCCGGGAGTGACCTGGAACAACCGAAGACGAATCGACAAGCTGAAAGGAACGGCTGAGCAGGGACATGAGGGGCCTGCGATACAACAGAATCGAAACCCACCCACCGAGAACACACATGTGCAAGTGATCGGCGGTTGCAGGAAGGCGAGCGAGTTCGAGAGTGACGCATGACATTGCGAGCCTTTTGGACTTAGGAGCACCTGAAAGGGCAAGCCCAAGGGCCCGGGTCGCCTTGGAGGCATCTAACTCGGCCCCAACAAGAACAGCCTGGGAAGCGTCACGGATATCCTTGGGGTCGGATCCCAAAAGGCCCTCTTTCTGGTATATGGCTTTGGCAAGCTCAAAGGCGCGGACAGCGGCAGGCGGAGACCCATCCTCAGGCACAGCAACCTTGCTTATGGCAAAATAGTCGTCGATAACCAAACCCTCGACGAGGGACTGGGGACCGCCAACGGGGAAGGGAACGCCATTGCAGATCTGAGAATCCTCACTGAGCAGTCCGTGGGCAGCGAGGAGGTTTTGGTGAGATGAGGTTGCGTATTCTACGCCTAGCGCATCCCCCTGTAGGACAGCGCCAAAGCACGCGAAGACACCGTTTGGCCACAACTTCTTGCCTTGCGATCTGACAGTGAGGTCGTGGAAAGCCTTGGTATCTTTGAGAAGGGAGGCCTCAAGCGGAGGAACGAGCACATTAGTAAGCGCGCGACGCAGGGGCACTCGGAGCTGGTGGTAGAAGTCCTTACGGTCAGCAGCATTTAGTGACAAGCGCTCCTTGAAAGGGTCTATGTGCAGACAGGAAAACATGACCCCGCTCGGAAGGAAGCGCGAAGGACCTGGGATAGTTCCCTCGCACATGTTGCGACCCCGCCTGTCACCTATTTGCCGGTCCGTCGAAGCGGACTTGAGAGAGTTAAAAATCCTGACTCCCTCGAATGGCCTCTCGGGAGGGGGGCCTTGAGGAGAAAGGACAAGCAGGTTGTTAACATCCCACAACCGCGCAACGCTGAGCACCTCTGAAGGGTTTTCGAGATGAAGCTTAGGTACCTCCCCGGCGACAGGCGGGATAGACGGCAGCAGGAGACTCTGGGGTTCTCGAAAAGCGAGATACAGGCTAGAGTCCAGGTGTGGGGAAGGGTCCCAGTTTGCCGTTCCTGAAAGGACAAGCCTGCTGGAATCGAGGCCACGATAAGGCGACAGGGCCCCACGGACATCGGCTGGGTCGTTGAGGCCAGGAAAGGCAGCTCCATATCGGTCGACAGAAAAACCGAGGGTGGTCAGCCGCTCGGATAGTTCTCCCAAACGTGCAAGTAATTCAGAAGACCGGCGCGACGCGGAGGGGAGATGGACATCCTCCGTGGCACCGAAAGCTTTGACAAGCTTCTCAAGGTACACCAGGGCCTTTGCCTGATTCACGTTGGGAAGCCTCCGCACAGCATCCTTGGGCACTGGGGCCCCGCTGGAATGCAGGTGGTTCAGGGCGGCGACCAAGACAAAAGTGGCACGTCGAACAGCGAGCCGGTGTCGGGCGCGCGAACCAAGGTGCGGGCCAGGCTGCCTAAACAGACCAAAGTATGGCAACGGCAGCGGGAACAAAGCTTTGGGGGGCGAGACACGACTCGCCGGTAGCAGATGCAAAAGAGGAGCGAGGCTCACAGCAAAGGGGGAGCCAGTCCTGAGGACGCGAAAAGCCAAAGAAAGACCCCACGAGTTGAAACACACGGTATTGCGGCCAGGGCGAGGGTGCCCAGGAAGACGGCCGTGAGTGGGGACAGTGTCATTGGCGGCAAAAGACGGACCATCGCAGTCGCGCGAATTCAAGGGCGCGGTTGGATCAGGTTGATGGTCCTGGCATGGCACCTGGCTTCGGTAGGGGAACCTGGAAGGCAAGCGGTGGGCAGGCGGAGGCGGGGCCGAAGCAGCGGCCTGAGCTCCGCTGGCAACCTTCTCCTCGAGACTCAGCTGTCTGTCGGCGACTGACTGCAGTTGGGCGGTCAGCGCCGGCAACGACCCTACCTTCTCGGCCAGCTGGGCTGTGGTGATCCTTTTGGGCTTTGCAGCAGGATTCTTTGGGCTTGGTGACGCCTTGGCCAGTGCAGGTAATAGCTCGGCGTCTGCGGCCGCCGCCTCCTCCTCGCCCTCGGCTGCTGAGTAGAAGGCGGTCCTTTCTCCGATCTGAGTTCGCACCCAGGACAGTGTCAAGGCCACTAAGGCGGAACATTCTGGGAAAGCTTGAGGGTGGTCCAAAGAGAAAGGCGTGGCATCCTGATGGGCCGAAGGGTCGAACGGGGCCATGTATCGCACAGCTTCGTCCTGAAAGTCTGCCACTAGCACCGGAAGCTGGAAACCTAGCAAAACTTCGGCCCCGTCTTCGTTCTCCTCCACCGCCTCGACGTCCAACACGGCTGAGGGGCCTAACAGGCCTGAAGCGTCCGGCAACTGGCCTGCATCTCGCAAGACCGGTGGCACAGTATCTGCGGGAAGAGCTAGGATAAGCCCTCCCTCTCTGCGGAGCACGGGGATGCAGATGACATGAGACGACCTGTCGCCAGGGGCCCCGGCCACCGGGGGCGAAACAACATATGGCATGACGATGCCATCGGACGCAAAGGTGAGCCGTTCCGGAATCATGCTTCCAGGGACTTTGGTTGTCCTTCCTTGCCGTAGCACAATACCACGCAGCCTCGAGATCCGATGCCTCAACAACTGGAGGTCGGAAGCACGCAGTCAAGCGGGGACTCGGGGCTAGGGGACCGCCTAAACCGGAGGCTAGGGTAATCAAAAGGACTAGCAACGAACTCCACGAGAAGCCAGTCGTCCTGGCGGGCAAAGTGCTTGGCCCCTCAGGGCTCGGGCAGAAGAGGCTATTTTAGGGTTTGGGCTGCTCAGTCACGCAGGTATGCGGCCAGGCGGGCGGCCCTACGCTGGACCCCGGGGGCCCCGGGCGGAACCTCAGGACCTGACCTGTGGCTGACCCGGGGTGGCTGCACAAACAGAATGTCTTTGAAGAAAAGAAGAGTGCAGAGTGTGCCCAGGGCAAAGCCCGAAAGGATAAGCGAGGCGGCCAGAGGGAAGGAGAAAGAGCAGTGTGCTGGACAGCCAAGTCCCCACCAGCCGCTACTCGAACCCTGAACAAGAAGTCCCAGAACCCGGGGGACTAGATCCATTTACCGCTTGAACCGCACAGTTCAAACCCTCGCCTTTACCGAAATCAGGGCTGTCATTGTTGGGATGTTTTCCCCCATGTACCAACAGTCCTCAAGCAGGGACTATAGTCTCCCCTGTGATAATGCCTATTACGGACTGTGAGTACAAGCCCAACCTTCTTTTTTCTTTCGAGTTCGGGTTTAGGGCTGCTTTGGATTTTGGAGGCGCTCTGTTGACACCTGTCTTAAGACTAGACCCTAAGCCACCCTCATTCTACAAAGCATCTATGCTATAAGCCCACTCAATCCTACAAACCCCTCCAAAAGAATTTCCCCTGGTACCGCCCCTAAACCCTAAGCCCGAAACCCAAAACCCAAAACCCTAAACCCTAAACCCACCCTGAACCCTAAACCCTCAAGCCCCTGAACCCCAAACCCCTGAAACCCAAAAGCCCTGAAACCCAAAAAAACGTGAACATGGCAAGCGTCCTCAGGGCCGGGGCGCCACCGGTCGTCGTCCTCAGGCTCGACCTTCGCCCTGGCAAGAGGGTTTTGGGTTTAGGGTTGAGGGTTCAGGGTTTGGGGTTTAGGGTTTCGGGTTCAGAGTGTTGAGGGTTTTGGGTGTAGGGTTTATGGTTTGGGTTGAGGGTTTTGGGTGTTGGGTTTAGGGTTCAAAAGCGTTTAGGGTGAAGGGTTTCGGTTGGGAGTTGCGGTAGGTTTCCGGGTTGAGAATTTGGGGAAATGACCATCAATTATGAGGGTTTAGGGCGTCGGGCTTGGGGTACGTGACGCTGAGGGTTGCAGGGCAGTCAGGATTTACCATAAACCCTAAACCCTAAACCCTAACCCTAAACCCTAACCCTAAACCCTAAACCCTAAACCCTTTCAGGATTTGGGGCTCACAGGCTTAGGGTTCAGGCCCTCGAAAGACTCTAACGGGTTTTGAGATGTGTTGAGGGCTTAGGGTTTAGGGTTCAGGGTTCAGGGTTTAGGGTCTAGGGTTTCGGGTTTAGCGTTTAGGGTTGTTGAGGGCTTCCCAAAATAGTGGTACCCTTCTTGGGGGTCCCTTCAAAGCGTTTCTATTCCATTTGGGAAGAACGGGGTACCCCTATGTTGGGAAATACCCATGTGTTTTCTGGGCTTCCGGACTTCGCGGTGGAGAGTTCTCGGATTTCTCGAAGGTTTCGGGCAGAGGCTGGAACACCCTAAACCCTAAACCCTAAACCCTGAACCCTAAACCCTAAACCCTAAACCCTAAACCCTAAACCCTAAACCCTAAACCCTAAACCCTAAACCCTAAACCTACCATAAACCCTAAACCCTAAACCCTAAACCCTAAACCCAAAACCCTAATCGACAACTTTGCTCAGCGGGCTCGCTGGCGACTCCTGACACGTCCTTTGGTTCTCCCTGGGCATCACACAATTTGGTTGATAATGTCTGCAACTGGGCGCCGTGTGACAGCAACGCCAAACAACCGGAAGCCCTAGGCCCCAGACCCTCCCTGGGCATCACATTACCTGAGCTCCTTTCTATGGCATTCGGGTTGAGGCTGGAAGCCCGAGACCCAAAGCCTCGGAAACCTGAACTCAAAACCCTAAACCCTAAACCCCAAAAAACCCTAAACCCTAAACTCCAAAAAAAACCTAAACCCTGAACCCTGAACCCCCAAAATCCCAAACCCCGCAAATCCGAGCCCTAAGCGTCAGAACCCTGACAGCCCCCCCAAACGGCTCCTCGCCTCATCTCTCGCGGCTTGGGAGCCTCTATCACCTTAGAGGTTTAGGGTTTAGGGTTTAGGGTTTAGGGTTTAGGGTTTAGGGTTTAGGGCTTCGGGCTTCGGGCTTCGGGCTTCGGGTTTCAGGTTTCGGTTTTCGGGTTTCGGGTTTCGGGTTTCGGGTTTCGGGTTTCGGGTTTCGGGTTCGGTTAGGGTTCCTCGTACGGCCTAAAGCCTAAGTACGCCCGAAAGCCCCAAAACCCCGTGGCCCTGCAAACCATGAAGCCCTACAAACCCCTAAACACCTAAACCCTACAAGGCACCTAAGCTGCCCCAAAAGCCCCAGAACCCCCTTAAACCCCCGTAAACTTGCACTTAAACTCCCTTGAACTCCCTCAAGCCCGCCTGAAACCCCTTAACCCCGTCTAAACCCCCTGAAACCCGCGAACACCCCCTCCACCCCCTCTAAACCCCCTAAAGCCCCCTAAAGCCCCCTAAAACCTTTAAGAGCCCTAAGAGTCCCAAAGAGCCCTCTAAACCTAAACCCCCCAAATTAAACCCTGAACCCCCTAAACCCCAAACCCCAAACCCTAAACCCCAAACCCTAAACCCTAAACCCTAAACCCTAAACCCCAAGCCCTCATCCCTAAGCCAAGCGGCAATCTCCTTCTTCTTGGGCCGCTCGGGAGGCGCCTTGACCACCTCCTCCTCCTCCTGCGCTCAAGGGGGGGGTTTAGGGTTTAGGGTTTAGGGTTTAGGGTTTAGGGTTTAGGGTTTAGGGTTTAGGGTTTAGGGTTTAGGGTTTAGGGTTTAGGGTTTAGGGTTTAGGGTTTAGGGTTTAGGGTTTAGGGTTTAGGGACTCTCTGAACCCTACGGCCCCGTAGCACCGCGCTGAGGGCTTTGGGCTTTGGGATTCTTATGGGAGGGGTGTTCAAGGGGGATGTTTCACCCGCGGCTCCCTACTACTTCCTTAGGCTCCCTGAGCTTCCCTAAGGTTCCCCACCCTATGAACCCCCCCCCCCCCCTCCACCTCTAAAGGCCCTACAAGATTTGTGTGTAGGGTGTAGAGTTTGGGGTACGTAGGGGCTTTAAAGGACCTGGGGGAGAAGGGCGGGTTGAGTCGAGGCTTCCCTACACCCTAAACCCACACCTTAAACCCTAAACCTTAAACCCTAAACCTTAAACCCTAAACCCCAAATTCCTACGGGTTTTCCAGGGTTTGAGGCTTCAGGGCTGCCTGAGTTCAGGCCTCTAAGAATGCAACAAGCAGCCTTCCGAATTAGGGTTTAGGGTTTAGGGTTTAAAGGTTTAGGGCTTAGGGACTAGCTGTAGGGATTAGGGTTTCGGAATAAGGGACCCTAAGCACTAACCTCAGAACCAAAATCCCGAAAACCTGAACCCTGACTTAGCCTGATCCGAAACCTGTCCAAGCCTACAACTCGAGAACCTTCACACCCGATAAACCCTATAATGTAAGCCCTTTTCAACCTACCCGTAAACCCTACTTACCCTCTAAAACCCAAAAGCACTTTAAACCCCATAAACCTTATACTCTACAAGCCTTGCAACTATAACGTTGACCCTAACCCCTAAACCCTACTCCCAAACCCTAAAAAACCCATAAGGACTCAGAACACTGGACTCGGAACGATACCTGCGTTTCTGTCCCGGGCTTGGGGAAGGCGAAGGTTTTGGGGGGTTTAGGGTTTAGGGTTTAGGGTTTAGGGTTTAGGGTTTAGGGTTTAGGGTTTAGGGTTTAGGGTTTAGGGTTTAGGGTGTTGGGTTTAGGGTTTAGGGTTTAGGGTTTAGGGTTTAGGGTTTAGGGTTTAGGGTTTAGGGCTTAGGGAGTATAGGGTTTAGGGGGTTGGTGATGAAGACGCTCCCCCCTGGGAGCAGCATCCGGGGTCTTCGGCCGATGTATGTGCTCATGGCCCTCTTGAAGCTGTCTTCGCACATCCGGGCTCGAATAAGAGAAAGCTGAACTGAAGGCTACCCTCAGAATCATGCTCGCATATCCGGGTGTGCCGACGCGACGTCCCGCCCGACGCGACGTCCCGCCGAAGCCGCCTCGCCATGGAGGGCGCTGCCGAAGTCGGCCAGTTTGGCCGCCCCATCGTTGGCCGGCATGGGTTCTTGGCCTGCCCTCTACCAGAACCCTTCACAGAACCAGTCTGGGGTAGGTTGGGGGCCCCATAAGACCCGAAAACTTTAGGGTTCACGGTTGTTGACGCCCTGAAACGCACACCCCAAGCTCGAAAATCTCAAACCAGCTGAGCTAGAAGTCCAGAAGGGGGGTTTCAGAATCCAAGGGTTCAGAAGCACTCCATAAACGCCTAAACACCGCAAAACCCGAAGCCCGTAAGCTGGCCCGAAACCCTAAACCCTCAATCCCAAACCCCAAACCATACAACCCGACAAACCTCTATACCCCTAAACCCCTAAACCCCTAAACCCCTAAACCCCTAAACCCCTAAACCCCTCAACCCCTAAACCCCTAAACCCCTAAACCCCTAAACCCCTAAACCCCTAAACCCCTAAACCCCTAAACCCCTAAACCCCTAAACCCCTAAACCCCTAAACCCCTAAACCCTAAACCCCCTTTTTTAACCGTTTAAACCCCTCTTAAACCCCTTAACACCCACCCTGCGCGAAGCCTTCACAGCAGCTTCCCGAAGCTCTTCCTTCAGCTTGGCGGCCTGGTGGCTCTTGGGGGTTTAGGGTTTAGGGTTTAGGGTTTAGGGTATAGGGTCTAGGGTCTAGGGTTTATG